TAAACATTATACTTTGCAGTAGATAATCTTGGCACGCACTTCTTTTTACATCTCTGGTTGTAATCTTTCTTATAAAGATAACTAAGTAAATCTAGAAATCCAATTTATTTTTAAAACAGGCAAGTATTGAATTGCTGTATTAATATATTGTTACTCATAACGTCCACGGGAATTTGTTTTGGTATGAAAACACTTTGGTTCTGGATACATGTTGGAATTTGAGAGAGAGAGAGAGTGCTTTACAACCTAAAAATAAAATATTAATTTTTAATTTCTACATTGTTCCAATGTACTTCTTTGTTCATTCATTCATCAATTAATTGCTTCCTCATCTTTAATCCAATAGCATTCCCACTCCCTCTATTATAACTATAATTACATTGTGCTCCAGGTGTTTCTCTTATATTGGTTTCCCCAGGCCATGAGGTCATGGAAGACATAGTTTATGTAACTTGTGTTTTCTTTCTAGAGCCCAGCACAGTGCCTGGCACATCTACTTGCCACTTGCAAGATATACAAAATGGAGCAAAGTGTGGTCTCAGCTCCTAAAGGACTTAGAGCCTTCTTAATAGCTCTGTGAGATTTCAAACTTGAATACCTTAGGCTAGAGTTAGGATAGCCACAACTTGTAACTGGTGTTTAAAGGGAAATGGAATTTTTTCCCCTTCACAGATGTTAGGGAATGGTTGTGTTTAACTTATCTGTATTGATGAGGCACAGAGATGGCTAACAGGATAGAAATATTGCATTTAAACATGTAAAAAGCTCTGCATTTTTACTTTCATGTTAGATTCTTCTGGCGCCTTCATCCTCAGCAGGTTGATGTGGAGCTGTTTTTAACAAAATCATTTTGGCCAGAACTTCCCAACCGTATTGATGCTGCATATGAGCATCCCTCTCGTGACCTTATCTTCATCTTTAGAGGTGAGCCTTCTACCGGTGAGGCCTCCCACACGACCAGGGTAGGCAGTGGTAAATTTAATGCTACGAGACTCAGTAAAATGATCACTACCCAAAACACACCTAAATTAAGAACCAAGTATAACAAATGGAAACCAGAAAGCTATTCTACCAAATGTCTCCAAGTATGACATATAAAAGGTTCATGTTATTATCATATCTACTCTGTTTATATCAATCATGTCAGTTTTTTCTCTTATTTTCTCTTCAAAAATATTTACTGAGAAAACATTGTAAAAATGGACATTTTGAAAAAATGAAAAAATATTAACCAGAATTCCCCTGTCTGAAAAGTCAGTTTTTATTTCATTTTCTCACTTTCTTTTCTAGTCCTTCACCATATTTAATACATATTTTTACATATTTATTTCATAGTACAGAGATATTTTCATATTCTGCTTGTTCCCTCGACATGAAATCATGAAAACTTTTCCACATTGCTACTCCATCTTCATGACCATACTTTAAATGGCTACATAACATTCTACTGATGTTTCTATTGTTTGACTATTATAATTAATAGTTTTGATAAAGTTACTTTTTAGAGAAGAAAATAACAACTTTCTAACTGGTATACAATTTCAGTTTCCAATGTAATTTATTGTTCCTACTATGCTATTTAGTCGCACATAAATTTTAATGTATTTTGTCACCCCGCTCATAACAATATTCTAAAGTAATAAATTGCCAAATTAATGGTGATATTTGGTTGTCTATGTTCATAATTAGGAAATTAGAATATTAAATTCTATTCTTTATTTGAATAATGATCATATTTCTATTTTTATAAACACAGTGACCACAAATACTAAATATTTTATCTCTAAATGTATAAAGTGGGTCTTCTTTGTTTAAGTAAATGTTAACATATGGGAGTCCTAATAAATTTCCTTGGATAAGAAAACTGTTCTTTCATTTATTCTAGGTAGAAAATTTTGGGCCCTTAATGGTTATGACATTCTGGAAGATTATCCCAAAAAAATATCTGAACTGGGATTTCCAAAAGAGGTGAAGAAAATTAGTGCAGCTGTTCACTTTGAGGATACGGGCAAGACTCTCTTCTTCTCAGGAAACCAGGTCTGGAGGTAAGGCAGCAGTGTGTACTGACCCATCTGGGTCACAGGGGCAAAGTGAGTCTCAAGCATCTGTCACTGCCACAAACTATTATCTCATGAATTATTTTAAATGTCATACCAATCATTCAGTTCTGTTTCATGTCAGCTCCTCCAGGCAGCCCCTCAGATGTATATTTAAAACTTTGAAGCCCTCTTGAAAACACAGACACACAATATTTACCTCTTGTCAACCATTTTTTCTTTCATATCCATTTGTTGTGCCTCAACCATGGCAAAACCATCTCCATTACTTTGGCACCTTCGTTCCTTCTGATCATTCTTCTGAATTCTCTTTCTTATCCTCTCCTAATTTGCTTGTGGCTCCATCTTCTGTGGCTGGAAAGAATATCCGGAATGGATATTGGAAAAGATTGGTTGAGAGAAGGCACCCATGTCTGCAGAGTCAGCTGATTCACTGGAGAGGTTGACCAGAAAGCTGATAGGCCCATAGTTTGTACAGTCAAACTTTCTGAAAGGCAGGTGCAGCTGGAATATTTAAAATATATGCAGATATCCAGGCAGCACTGGCATTGGCAACATTCAGGAGGCCAGACCCATGTCTATATTTGGGAATGAGACTATCTCATATGTACTCAACACTTGAAATGTTTAAAATGGAAGCTTTACTCCATCTGTACATATGCACAGCCACACACACAACACACACACACATCCCTGTATATATCAACTTTGCCTTTTAACTTCTTTATCTCTGATGACAACATTTATACCTCTTTAAAATTTACTGCCAGCTTGTGTCTGGTCCCTGTACTTTTACATCCCCTAACCTTCCCTTATGCAATTTTCTTTGCTGGAAGGTCTGTCGCTTCATCTCTCCTCCTTGAAATTTTACCCATTGTTTAAAGTTCATTCAAAACATCGTTCATCTAGAAAGACTCTTTCGATCATCCCATTCAGAGGTTATCTGCCCTTTCCCTGTACTCCCATGAGATTTCATGTTTACTCTCCCATGATGCTTAACTTCTGTCACCTGGTGTTGCAGTTATGTGTATACATGTCTTAGCTTTCTTGATAGTTTAGCGGTTCTTACCTTTTGCTTATTGAAACATTCCTCAAGGATATAAAAAGGTCTCAGTCAGTCACAGCAGTATCTTACAGTAGCCTCTTCTCCTATTAATATCAGAATGTGCTTGGTTGGCCAGGCCAGGGTGGGGGTATGAGCAGGGGAGAGGGAGTATGAAATATGCAGTTATGGAAGAAGAAAACTATGCTCCCCTTCCTCCTTTGGTATTACCATATGCCCCTGCAGCTTTTTAGCACANTCTTACCTTTTGCTTATTGAAACATTCCTCAAGGATATAAAAAGGTCTCAGTCAGTCACAGTAGTATCTTACAGTAGCCTCTTCTCCTAGGTTAATATCAGAATGTGCTTGGTTGGCCAGGCCAGGGTGGGGGTATGAGCAGGGGAGAGGGAGTATGAAATATGCAGTTATGGAAGGAGAAAACTATGCTCCCCTTCCTCCTTTGGTATTACCATATGCCCCTGCAGCTTTTTAGCACAGAAATTAAATCTTAAATACTTTTGTATTCATTACCATACTTAGCAAGTTGTCTTACACATCATGGGAGATCAATACATGACTGCTCAATGCATAAACATATATTTATTTCACTCTAAGAATACTTTCCTAATGACACAGTTTTATAGCAGACACATAATTTCTGAAACAAAAATGAACTTATAACTATCTTTGCAAAGATAGCCTTTAGGACATCAACTATTCTCATCAGTCATCCATTATATACTTAACATGGTAATTCCTAATTTTAAAAAGCTACCAGATGTTTTAAATGGACTTAAAATTTCAAAACTCTTGTCAATTTTGAAAGGTGCTGTTAAATTTATTATAATATTTCTAAGGTAATTTCTAAGAAATATAACGTACTTAAGAGTTTCTTTTTTTATTATTATTAAATAGGTATGATGATACTAACCATATTATGGATAAAGACTATCCCAGACTCATAGAAGAGGACTTCCCAGGAATTGGGGATAAAGTAGATGCTGTCTACGAGAAAAATGGTAACTAGTTAATTGCACTGACCTTAAAGGAGGACTTCTGTAGCCCCTCAAAGCACTTTCTCATACAAAGGATTTGTATACAGGACTTAGATGTGGTAATAAATGTATAGCAGTTAGGAATTAATAATTTTTGTATGACTATTTGAACAGACAGCAAACAAAAAATAGCACACTTAGAATAAATGAAAATTGTACTTAATGATTGCTAACTCTATAATTAATTACTTAATGATAGTTACCAAACCATAAACATTACCTTAAATTATGCTTAAAGATGCCAAATGCAAAGGCTGTTGCCAGAACTCAAACTGGGGGTGGAGTGGGGGAGTGATTTATATATAAAACTCATACTATCATAATTGCACAATTTTTTTGCTTTAATTATGAAAAAGGATATTATTCCTAACTTACAATGAATAGCTAATGTCAATAATTCACACATTAAAGTTGAAACTAACGACAAGACAATTAATTCTAGATGAAAATTTAGGAGAGCTGAGAATATTTATACCTTTTTAAAAAAAACTGTAAGCAATACATTAAAGCATTTGTAGGGTTTTAAAACATAAAGGTTGGAACATTGAAAGAAAGTGAGATCTAGCAGATTGGGCCTTTAATATTTAAAACTTTATTATTTTCAAACTCTGAAACTGTCTTTATTGTCTTTTTATTTTTTATTAATATTTAAAACTTTATTATTTTCAAACTCTGAAACTGTCTTTATTGTCTTTTTATTTTTATTTTTTTTTTTTGTAGGATATATCTATTTTTTCAATGGACCCATACAGTTTGAATACAGCATCTGGAGTAACCGTATTGTTCGAGTCATGCCAGCAAATTCCCTATTGTGGTGTTAAATGTCTTTAAAAATTTGTTATTTAAGTCCTGGAGAGCATTTGGGATAATTCTTCCAAACGTGTGGGGGTGGGGCTGGGGAGGAGGAGAGAGATCGGGGGAAAGCTTAGTTCTGTGAACAAGCTTCAATAAGTTATGTTTGACCATGTAGCATCTATACGAATAAGCGTGGCTGGAACCACATTGAAGAGTATTAAAGTAATGAAATGGAATATCTCTAAGGATCACCTGATTCTTGTGTGCTATATGGAAACAATGGTGATGAAATTTCCCACACCAGAAACGGGACACACGGTGTGTCGATGTTAGCATAATTTTAAAATATATTTATAAGGAAACTTTACAAAGGCAGAAAAGTAAGTCGCATTTATATAATTGAAAACCATCTTTACTAAAAAGTGTAAAATAGTATGAAAATGGAATTTGGGGAAGTATGTGGTAACCATACAAGAACATAGATAAACCAAAGGGAAATGTCTGTAATGAATAGATTGTAGAAAACTTTCCAAGGAAATAATTTGGGTTTTGCACTGAGAATGTTCCGATGAACATGCCCCTCTTCACACAGACACTAAGAAAATATCAAAGTGACTGAAGATAAGAGACAAAGACTTATTTATGGTGAGGACAGCAGATGTGGCCCTTGGATTCTGTTTACCTTTTACTTTTGGCAATGACTCAGGGCTGCTCTCAAATAAGACAAATATTTCTTTGTATATTTATGGAAGATAAAGAGAGACAATCTCTCCTATTGTCAAAATATTCTAGGTCATTCAAAAGTCACACAGTAAAAAATTAAAATTGCTATCAAAATAATCTAAGGCCATGGCATCACTTTCTCATAAATCATTTGATTATTTAAGACTAAAAATAGTGTTTCAACCCTATTTTATCTAGCTGTTTTAATTGCCCAGTTTACCTTGGATATGTATGGTATTTTCTAAACACTCGTACAGCATGAAATAAAACAAACCTTATAAACTGGAAATACACCTGTTAAAACAGAGACATCTGAAATAAAGAAAACAGTCTACTACACTGTGATCCTCCTGAGTTATGAGACTGTTCCTTTTATCTCTGCTTTTTTTTTTTTAATCCCCCAGCACTTTTCACAGTGCCTGACACTTGGTAGGGAACTGGCACTCATTGAATATATGAATGGCCATCAAGGGAAAAACTATTGTGCTGAGAGGTATTGTTCATAAAAACTCAAGCAAAGAAAATGAAGTGTATAATTGCAAAATGCATTAGGAAGTGTTTATGTTGTTTATAATAAAAAGATATTTTCAACATGTTGTTATATGGTATATTTTGTCTTCAGAGATAATTTTAAGCTTCCCTCACACAAAAAGGGTCCATTGCCAATATTTCTTAATGAAAGTAGTTCACTCACTGGTTGTTTTTTGTTTGGGTTTTAGAATTAACTGTTAACAAAAGTTCTGGTAGAGTTTGGTCAGCCTGGTGCTGAGGAACCCCTTCTTTCTGGGCCAGCTGTCCTAGACGGAGCCCACACGTTCCTCAGCATCTTCCCTGCTGAGAGTTTTATTTGGTAATGAAGTGGAAAGAGCAATAGATCTGGAGTAAGGAAGACTGAATTCTAATCCTTGCTCTGCTTTGAACTCTGCTGTGTGAATTTGGGCAGGTCATGCAATCTCTTTGGGCCTTGCTTTCCTCATCTGTAAAATGAGAGGATTGGTGGCTTTGGTAAGATGGTGGAATGTGGAGGAACCAGGGAACTTTAATGAAGGAAGCAAACACTACCTGTCTAGAAAGCCCAGGACCTCCAGGCTTAAGAAGTTTAGGTCCCATCCCCAAACATTTAGTAGGTGTCTGTTAAATATCAGGCACCTAATACATTGAGATGAACTAGAAAAACCTTATCTTCACCTCCTGACATGCTTGTGTCCTACTATGGAGACAGAACTGTAAGGCAACAATTAAAATTCAGTAAGTTAAGCGCTTCTTTAGGGGAACAATGACCTCTTGCTGTGGGTGCAGAGAAGACTGTTGATTTCTTCCTGCCAGTGTATCTCCAAAGTCAATCGATACACTTTTACTCTTCCTTGATAATTTGACAGGATTCCTGATTCCTAAAGTTTGCTATTTGAATAGAACATAGTCCATTCATCCATCGATCCAATAGAAATTAATCGAGCACCTTTCCTGTGCCAGGAACTTAAGCAGATGCTGAGGAAACAGTGAAAAGCAAAACCTCATTACTTTCTTGGAGCTCACAGTCTAGTTGGAGAGATAGACGTCAATCAAATGACTATAAATCACAACTGTGATAAGTGCTACAAAGAAAAAGAGACATGGTGCTCTGAGAGCTTCTAATAAGACGAATTTTACTGTGTGTTTGGGGAGGTGAGGGGTACAGGAGGGTTCACATGGAAGAGATACCTGAGCTAAGAGTAAGAATGAGTAAAAGTTAACCGGGCCAGTGCAGGAAATCAGGAAAGGGCTCCAGGCCCTCCCCTTCAGATTGGAAGAGATTTCTTGGAGCCCGGTAGGGAGTTATAGGAATGTTTTTGATGATTTTGGCAGAGTATAAATTGGGTAAACTGTAGCAAGGGAAGCCCAAATACAACTACATTTCTCCTATCCTTCAAGTAAGTCAGAATGCCAAATATAAATCAGTGGATCTCTCTCTCTGATAATCAAGAAAAAAAGAGTTTATTGAT